TGCGTGTGTGTGTGTGTGTGTGTGTGTGTGTGTGTGTGTGTACTCACCTAGTTGTACTCACCTAGTTGGGGTTGCAGGGGTCGAGTCCAAGCTCCTGGCCCCGCCTCTTCACTGGTCGCTACTAGGTCACTCTCCCTGAACCGTGAGTTTTATCATACCTCTGCTTAAAGCTATGTATGGATCCTGCCTCCACTACATCGCTTCCCAAACTATTCCACTTCCTGACTACTCTGTGGCTGAAGAAATGCTTCCTAACATCCCTGTGATTCATCTGTGTCTTCAGCTTCCAACTGTGTCCCCGTGTTGCTGTGTCCAGTCTCTGGAACATCCTGTCTTTGTCCACCTTGTCAATTCCTCTCAGTATTTTGTAAGTCGTTATCATGTCCCCCCTATCTCTCCTGTCCTACAGTGTCGTCAGATTGATTTCCCTTAACCTCTCCGCGTAGGACATACCTCTTAGCTCTGGGACTAGTCTTGTTGTAAACCTTTTCACTTTCTCTAGTTTCTTTACATGCTTGGCTAGGTGTGGGTTCCAAACTGGTGCCGCATACTCCAATATGGGCCTAACGTACACGGTGTACAGGGTCCTGAACGATTCCTTATTAAGATGTCGGAATGCTGTTCTGAGGTTTGCCAGGCGCCCATATGCTGTAGCAGTTATTTGGTTGATGTGCGCTTCAGATGTGCCTGGTGTTATACTCACCCCAAGATCTTTTTCCTTGAGTGAGGTTTGTAGTCTCTGGCCCCCTAGACTGTAATCCGTCTGCGGTCTTCTTTGCCCTTCCCCAATCTTCATGACTTTGCACTTGTTGGGATTGAACTCCAGGAGCCAATTGCTGGACTAGGTCTGCAGCCTGTCCAGATCCCTTTGTAGTTCTGCCTGGTCTTCGATCGAATGAATTCTTCTCTTCAACTTCACGTCATCTGCAAACAGGGACACCTCGGAGTTTATTCCTTCCGTCATGTCGTTCACAAATACCAGAAACAACACTGATCCTAGGACTGACCCCTGTGGGACCCCGCTGATCACAGGTGCCCACTCTGACACCTCGCCACGTACCATGACTCGCTGCTGTCTTCCTGACAAGTATTCCCTGATCCATTGTAGTGCCTTCCCTGTTATCCCTGCTTGGTCCTCCAGTTTTTGCACTAATCTCTTGTGTGGTACTGTGTCAAATGCCTTCTTGCAGTCCAAGAAAATGCAATCCACCCACCCCTCTCTCTCTTGTCTTACTGCTGTCACCTTGTCATAGAACTCCAGTAGGTTTGTGACACAGGATTTCCCGTCCCTGAAACCATGTTGGCTGCTGTTGATGAGATCATTCCTTTCTAGGTGTTCCTCCACTTTTCTCCTGACAATCTTCTCCATGACTTTGCATACTATACATGTCAGTGACACTGGTCTGTTGTTTAGTGCTTCATGTCTGTCTCTTTTTTTTAAAGGTTGGGACTACATTTGCTGTCTTCCATGCCTCAGGCAATTTCCCTGTTTCGACAGATGTATTGAAAATTGTTGTTAGGGGTACACATAGCGCCTCTGCTCCCTCACTCAGGACCCATGGAGAGTTGTTATCTAGCCCCATTGCCTTTGAGGTATCTAGCTCGCTCAGAAGCCTCTTCACTTCTTCCTCGGTTATGTGTACTGGTGGTGTGCACCTGGTGGTGTGCCCCACCTCTCCGTCTTTCTGGAGCCCCTTCTGTCTCCTCTGTGAACACTTCTTTGAATCTCTTGTTGAGTTCCTCACATACTTCACGGTCATTTCTTGTTGTCTCTCCTCCTTCCTTCCTTAGCCTGATTACCTGGTCCTTGACTGTTGTTTTCCTCCTGATGTGGCTGTATAACAGCTTCGGGTCAGATTTGGCTTTCGCTGCTATGTCGTTTTCATATTGTCGTTGGGCCTCCCTTATCTGTGCATATTCGTTTCTGGCTCTACGACTGCTCTCCTTATTCTCCTGGGTCCTTTGCCTTCTATATTTCTTCCATTCCCTAGCACGCTCGGTTTTTGCCTCCTTGCACCTTTGGGTGAACCATGGGCTCATCCTGGCTTTTTCATTATTCCTGTTTCCCTTGGGTACAAACCTCTCTTCAGCCTCCTTGCACATTGTTGCTACATATTCTATCATCTCATTAACTGGCTTCCCTGCCAGTTCTCTGTCCCACTGAACCTCATTCAGGAAGTTCCTCATTCTCGTGTAGTCCCCTTTCCTGTAGTTTGGTTTCATTTGTCCTGGCCTTCCTGCTTCCCCCTCCACTTGTAGCTCTACTGTGTATTCGAAGCTCAAAACCACATTAGCGCTGGCCCCAAGGGGTCTTTCATATGTGATGTCCTCAATATCTGCACTGCTCAAGGTGAATACTAAGTCCAGTCTTGCTGGTTCATCCTCTCCTCTCTCTCTTGTAGTGTCCCTTACGTGTTGGTACATGAAGTTTTCCAGTACCACCTCCATCATCTTAGCCCTCCATGTATCTTGGCTCCCATGTGGCTCCAAGTTCTCCCAGTCGATCTTGTGGTTTAAGTCGCTCATGATCAGGAGCTTTGCCCTGCATGCATGAGCTCTTCTGGCCACTGCAGCCTGTGTCAACCATCGCTCTATTGCTCTCGTCATACTCTTGCCCTGGCCTCCTGCTGTTCTGTGGTGGGTTATACATCACTGTGTGTGTGTGTGCGTGTGTGTGTGTGTGTGTGTGTGTGTGTGTGTGTGTGTGTGTGTGTGTGTGTGTGTGTGTGTGTGTGTGTGTGTGTGTGTGTGTGTGTGTGTGTGTGAGTGTGTGTGTGCGTGTGCGTGTGTGCGTGTGTGTGTGTGTGCGTGTGTGCGTGTGTGCGTGTGTGTGTGTGTGTGTGCGTGTGTGGGTATAGTTTAACTATACCCACATTTCTGTCCAAGACGGACAGAAACGTGGTCGTAAGCTTCTCTGTTCTATGTGCTGGCATTGGTGTATTACTACACACCTTGGAAATATTTTCTCAATATTGCTCGTATATTATTATTACAGAGGTCGACGTCTTGATCAAACAGTAAATAAAAGGAGGCTCCTACAAACTATTTTGTGAACAATTTAATTGTGAATGAATTAATTTTGACAGCAAGTTTACATTGTCTCATCTCTAGTTAGTGTCTGAGAGCCATTATTTCCTCCATGTGATGATTATGTCTTCCTTTTGGTGCTTAAGTTCACGTATTTCATCGAAGTGGTGATCATTTCGTTATTTTTTTTTAACTGATGACTTATGTCTTTAATTTGGTGCTTAATATCTCGTATTTCCTTCAAGTAAAAAGTTATGTCTCTAATACAGTTTTTAAGATCCTGTATTTCCTCCAAGTGTTGCGTTGCCAAAGTGTTGAGTTGCTTATTATGTTCTTCCAGATGCAGTTGCTTTTCAGTGTCTCGTATTACAAATCTCTTTATAGTCATATTGTAAATATTTTTTCCAATTAGCTTTTCATTAATTTTTTCTCTCGTCCCATATTTATGAAAAAAAGGGTAGCAAACATCAAATTTAAGACAAGTTATACACTGAGATGCTGCCTGGTAACAGACAGCTTTTTCTCTCAAGTCATTAAGTTTTTCAGATGACCGAGTAATCAATAAATTTGCAATAATGATAGTAACACTAATGACGAAGATCAGAAAGACAAGGTTCGTCAACACTGGATAAACAAGAGGGTTCGTGTCACTGAGAAAAGTGTCATTATAGGCTAAATCACTAAACATCCACATTATTGTCTTGATTATGGCTTGTGGCAATGTAATGAAGTCAGCTTGATCTTTTAATTGCATATGGAAAATGAAGGCAAATGTAATTACAAGCGAGGCAATATAGAATGCCACTAGGACAAAACGCTTGAGAAAGCTTCGAGTAATAGGCAATAGAATAAAGACTGTGGGTAACTGGTTGAAGAGTTCGATGAAGCAAAACCATTCCACTAGTATGACCAAGATTCCACATACCCATTGTCCAGTCTGTAAAAGAAGATTTTACAATCTAATGAAACAAGTTTGAGTAGGATTTCTTTTTAAAAACAGTAATAAAAGTCGCAAGTTAAATTGTATATCCATGCCATTGTTATTTATGTCATTTGATAATCATTATAAAGATTAATGGATATGATGTATCAGCAATAGCAATATCTTGGCTTACCAAAAGTATATGATAATGAAATTCACAGGTCCCTCCTGGTACTATGACAACAATAGTGAGTAACAGACGGCAGAGCCTCATCACACTGCCAGTGTTCAAATATTCGTTCCTCAGCTGCAAGCACAAAAGATGATCACCAGTAGAAGTGGTTACTGAGTGGTAGTAAACTACCTAGAGAAAATAGTTATTGAACACGTGGCTACTAAATGGGTAATATACTACTGTACATGAAAAAAACAAGAATTAAGAGAATACAATCACCTTCAGTATTGTGAATAACATGGCAATTATCCTTTGCTTTCTCCATCAGTGTCATTACTTTTTATCAAAAAAAATAATAGTCTTTTTTATGCTAGTGAAATTAAGAAAATTCGGAGAGATTAATTTCATAAAACATTTGTTATTTTCGGTATGAAATAATGTACATCATTTCTTAAAGTATACATTATTTTAAGTTATTTTCCAATAACAAAAATAATTATTTCCTTACATCACAATTTAATAATTTTCGATTAAAGAACTTATTGATTAATTAATAATGGCAGTAATGCAAATGTGTTATTGAAACTTACTTGATACATACAGTTGATGTCCAAGATCATTAAGGTGAGAGTACAGGCCAGCAGAACCCATACACTCCCATGCTTCGCTGGCTGTTTTTGATGCCTTTCCATAAACTTAATTATTGTTGAATTATCTAATAACATCATTAAAGTTTCTTCATTTTCTCCTGAGAAAGTATTTCCATTCAGAGAATCAATTGTGGAAGTCTGTTTTGCCACCGTTTTTTGCGTTGTTGCTAAATTACAATACTTTTCTCTGGTAATGTTGCCTCGTTTTTCTGTGTTACGCCAGGTGCTGAAAACAGTTTTATGAAGTGATTAAAAGAGGCGGCAGTTCGTATCTCATTAATAAATATATATTTTTTTTCTTTAATGTCAAGTAAAATGGAAAATGGTTCTTTGAGAGCCGACCTGGTACCTGGGATCAAGTCTTATGATCATAGTGCAGTGGTCATCACGCAGACCTCGGCACTCTCCAGATCTCAGTCATATTGTAAAATCACTCCAATTTCTTTTTTCTTTAGTTTCACATAACTATAAACATCAACATCATATACACTACAGTCATAATCTACATCATAAAACTGCAAAACTATAACATTATATATTATTCATCCACATGTATTAGCAAACATTTACAAGCTAAAAGCTGGCAAATTGAAAATACCTGATAGATTTAAGAAAAACTTTTTAAGAAGTGAAGGAAAAAAAATAGAGGACGTTTTTAGAGTTAGTAACCATGGAGGGTTAGTAACCATGGAGGCTTAGTAACCATGGAGGCTTAGTAACCATGGAGGGTTAGTAACCATGGAGGCTTAGTAACCATGGAGGGTTAGTAACCATGGAGGCTTAGTAACCATGGAGGGTTAGTAACCATGGAGGCTTAGTAACCATGGAGGCTTAGTAACCATGGAGGCTTAGTAACCATGGAGGGTTAGTAACCATGGAGGGTTAGTAACCATGGAGGCTTAGTAACCATGGAGGCTTAGTAACCATGGAGGCTTAGTAACCATGGAGGGTTAGTAACCATGGAGGGCTAGTAACCATGGAGGCTTAGTAACCATGGAGGGTTAGTAACCATGGAGGGTTAGTAACCATGGAGGGTTAGTAACCATGGAGGGTTAGTAACCATGGAGGCTTAGTAACCATGGAGGGTTAGTAACCATGGAGGGTTAGTAACCATGGAGGGTTAGTAACCATGGAGGCTTATAACCATGGAGGCTTAGTAACCATGGAGGGTTAGTAACCATGGAGGGTTAGTAACCATGGAGGGTTAGTAACCATGGAGGCTTATAACCATGGAGGCTTAGTAACCATGGAGGGTTAGTAACCATGGAGGGTTAGTAACCATGGAGGCTTATAACCATGGAGGCTTAGTAACCATGGAGGGTTAGTAACCATGGAGGCTTAGTAACCATGGAGGGTTAGTAACCATGGAGGGTTAGTAACCATGGAGGGTTAGTAACCATGGAGGCTTATAACCATGGAGGCTTAGTAACCATGGAGGGTTAGTAACCATGGAGGGTTAGTCACCATGGAGGGTTAGTAACCATGGAGGCTTATAACCATGGAGGCTTAGTAACCATGGAGAGTTAGCAACCATGGAGGCTTAGTAACCATGGAGGGTTAGTAACCATGGAGGGTTAGTAACCATGGAGGGTTAGTAACCATGGAGGCTTATAACCATGGAGGCTTAGTAACCATGGAGGGTTAGTAACCATGGAGGCTTAGTAACCATGGAGGGTTAGTAACCATGGAGGGTTAGTAACCATGGAGGGTTAGTAACCATGGAGGCTTAGTAACCATGGAGGGTTAGTAACCATGGAGGGTTAGTAACCATGGAGGGTTAGTAACCATGGAGGCTTATAACCATGGAGGCTTAGTAACCATGGAGGGTTAGTAACCATGGAGGCTTAGTAACCATGGAGGGTTAGTAACCATGGAGGGTTAGTAACCATGGAGGGTTAGTAACCATGGAGGCTTAGTAACCATGGAGGGTTAGTAACCATGGAGGGTTAGTAACCATGGAGGGTTAGTAACCATGGAGGCTTAGTAACCATGGAGAGTTAGTAACCATGGAGGGTTAGTAACCATGGAGGGTTAGTAACCATGGAGGCTTATAACCATGGAGGCTTAGTAACCATGGAGGGTTAGTAACCATGGAGGCTTAGTAACCATGGAGGGTTAGTAACCATGGAGGGTTAGTAACCATGGAGGGTTAGCAACCATGGAGGCTTAGTAACCATGGAGGGTTAGTAACCATGGAGGGCTAGTAACCATGGAGGGTTAGTAACCATGGAGGGTTAGTAACCATGGAGGGTTAGTAACCATGGAGGGTTAGTAACCATGGAGGCTTAGTAACCATGGAGGGTTAGTAACCATGGAGGCTTAGTAACCATGGAGGCTTAGTAACCATGGAGGCTTAGTAACCATGGAGGCTTAGTAACCATGGAGGGCTAGTAACCATGGAAGGTTAGTAACCATGGAGGGTTAGTAACCATGGAGGGCTAGTAACCATGGAGGGTTAGTAACCATGGAGGGTTAGTAACCAGGGAGGGTTAGTAACCATGGAGGGCTAGTAACCATGGAGGGTTAGTAACCATGGAGGGTTAGTAACCATGGAGGCTTATAACCATGGAGGGTTAGTAACCATGGAGGCTTAGTAACCATGGAGGCTTAGTAACCATTGAGGGTTAGTAACCATGGAGGCTTAGTAACCATGGAGGCTTAGTAACCATGGAGGGTTAGTAACCATGGAGGGTTAGTAACCATGGAGGGTTAGTAACCATGGAGGCTTAGTAACCATGGAGGGTTAGTAACCATGGAGGCTTAGTAACCATGGAGGCTTAGTAACCATGGAGGGTTAGTAACCATGGAGGGTTAGTAACCATGGAGGGTTAGTAACCATGGAGGGTTAGTAACCATGGAGGGTTAGTAACCATGGAGGGTTAGTAACCATGGAGGCTTAGTAACCATGGAGGGTTAGTAACCATGGAGGCTTAGTAACCATGGAGGGTTAGTAACCATGGAGGGTTAGTAACCATGGAGGGTTAGTAACCATGGAGGGTTAGTAACCATGGAGGCTTATAACCATGGAGGGTTAGTAACCATGGAGGCTTAGTAACCATGGAGGCTTAGTAACCATTGAGGGTTAGTAACCATGGAGGCTTAGTAACCATGGAGGCTTAGTAACCATGGAGGGTTAGTAACCATGGAGGGTTAGTAACCATAGAGGCTTAGTAACCATGGAGGCTTAGTAGCCATGGAGGCTTAGTAACCATGGAGGGTTAGTAACCATGGAGGGTTAGTAACCATGGAGGGTTAGTAACCATGGAGGCTTAGTAACCATGGAGGCTTAGTAACAATGGAGGGTTAGTAACCATGGAGGGTTAGTAACCATGGAGGGTTAGTAACCATGGAGGCTTAGTAACCATGGAGGCTTAGTAACCATGGAGGGTTAGTAACCATGGAGGGTTAGTAACCATGGAGGCTTAGTAACCATGGAGGCTTAGTAACAATGGAGGGTTAGTAACCATGGAGGGTTAGTAACCATGGAGGGTTAGTAACCATGGAGGCTTAGTAACCATGGAGGCTTAGTAACCATGGAGGGTTAGTAACCATGGAGGGTTAGTAACCATGGAGGGTTAGTAACCATGGAGGCTTAGTAACCATGGAGGCTTAGTAACCATTGAGGGTTAGTAACCATGAAGGGATAGTAACCATGGAGGCTTAGAAACAATGGAGGGTTAGTAACAATGGAGGCTTAGTAACCATGGAGGCTTAGTAACCATGGACGGTTAGTAACCATGGAGGCTTAGTAACCATGGAGGCTTGGTAACCATGGAGGCTTAGTAACCATGGAGGCTTAGTAACCATGAAGGCTTAGTAACCAAGAAGGCTTAACAACCATGGAGGCTTAGTAACCATGGAGGCTTAGTAACCATGGAGGCTTAGTAACCATGGAGGCTTAGTAACCATGGAGGGTTAGTAACCATGGAGGGTTAGTAACAATTTAGGGTTAGTAACCATGGAGGCTTAGTAACCATGGAGGATTAGTAACAATTTAGGGTTAGTAACCATGGAAGGTTTTTAACCATGGAGGGTTAGTAGCAATGGAGGGTTAGTAACAATGGAGGGTTAGTAACCATGGAGGGTTAGTAACCATGGAGGGTTAGTAACCATGGAGGGTTAGTAACCATGGAGGGTTAGTAACCATGGAGGGTTAGTAACCATGGAGGGTTAGTAACCATGGAGGCTTAGCAACCATGGAGGCTTGGTAACCATGGAGGCTTAGTAACCATGGAGGCTTAGTAACCATGAAGGCTTAGTAACCAAGAAGGCTTAACAACCATGGAGGCTTAGTAACCATGGAGGGTTAGTAACCATGGAGGCTTAGTAACCATGGAGGCTTAGTAACCATGGAGGGTTAGTAACCATGGAGGGTTAGTAACAATTTAGGGTTAGTAACCATGGAGGCTTAGTAACCATGGAGGGTTAGTAACCATGGAGGGTTAGTAACAATTTAGGGTTAGTAACCATGGAGGATTAGTAACAATTTAGGGTTAGTAACCATGGAAGGTTTTTAACCATGGAGGGTTAGTAGCAATGGAGGGTTAGTAACAATGGAGGGTTAGTAACCATGGAGGGTTAGTAACCATGGAGGGTTAGTAACCATGGAGGGTTAGTAACCATGGAGGGTTAGTAGCAATGGAGAGTTAGTAACAATGGAGGGTTAGTAACCATGGAGGGTTAGTAACCATGGAGGGTTAGTAACAATGGAGGGTTAGTAACCATGGAGGCTTAGTAACCATCGAGGGTTAGTAACCATGGAGGGTTAGTAACCATGGAGGGTTAGTAACAATGGAGGGTTAGTAACAATGGATGGTTAGTAACCATGGAGGGTTAGTAACAATGGAGGGTTAGTAACAATGGAGGGTTAGTAACAATGGAGGGTTAGTAACCATGGAGGGTTAGTAACAATGGATGGTTAGTAACCATGGAGGGTTGGTAACCATGGAGGGTTAGTAACAATGAAGGGTTAGTAACGATGGAGGGTTAGTAACCATGGAGGGTTAGTAACCATGGAGGGTTAGTAACCATGGAGGGTTGGTAACCATGGAGGGTTAGTAACCATGGAGGGTTAGTAACCATGGAGGGTTGGTAACCATGGAGGGTTAGTAACCATGGAGAGTTGGTAACCATGGAGGGTTAGTAACCATGGAGGGTTAGTAACCATGGAGAGTTGGTAACGATGGAGGGTTAGTAACCATGGAGGGTTAGTAACCATGGAGGGTT